CTGTCACAGTTTGCCCAGAGAAGCTTGGCTGCCCCCGCCCTGGCAGTGTTCAAGGCCAGGTTGGACAGGGCTTTGGGCAACCTGGTCTGGTGGAAGGGGTCCCTGCCCATGGCGGGGGGGCTAGAACCAGATGATCTAGAATATCGCTTCTAGCCCAAACCACACTATGATAATTCACATAATACTGACTGCAGTTCAAATAAATAGTCATCCTGGGACTATATTTTGTTTTGTATTCTTTAAAATGAGTTTGCTGCTTGTCAGGTCAGTTTTAGGACAACTTGATGATTTTCTTCTAGTTTAAGAACTTGCAGAGGAGCAAGAAGCTGATGTTATAGCAGATGTTTTTTTTAGGGCAATTCAAAGCTGAAGGGGAAAAAGGAAGCACTGAGTAAAAGTACCGAAGATCAGCATGATAAACCAATGGTAATACATGGTTTTTGGAAGAATATTCTGGCATTTCTCCTTAAAAGCAGGAGGACAGTTTTACTTTCAGTAGGATTCAATTTCAGTGTTGAAAAAGCTGCAATAGAATGTTTGTAACACTTTCAGTCGTTGTAAGACAGTTTGAATTATGTAGAGCCTGTGTCTGTTAGCTTCAGAGTAAAATGGCATTGTAAGAATAGTTAAAATTAACTGTAGATTCTTCTCCAGGGGTATAATCATTCAAAAAAAAAAAGTGACATCACTTCATTTATAAATACCTGAAGTGAACAGTTTGCCACCTTTGGTGTTAAAAATCAGTGGCTTCTAACGCAAGATACCTACACTTAAAATACAGCCCTCGGGTTCCAAGAGCTACCTCAGTACAGGCATCCGCTGAGGGGAAGACGAAGTTACAACTGTTGTTCCAGAGAACTAACCCAACATAGCACGTCCTTAGCAAGGGAAGTAGTTGAGGTCAAGTAATAAGCAGCATACATACATTTACTGTTTACAACATTATAAATTCAATTGCTGCAGGAATTACTTGACGTCCGTGGCAGTCCATGCCCAGTCCCTGCTGCAGGGGCTGCTGCTGGTGGTGGACATGTACCCCACAAGCTACAGAACAGTGCTGGCAGCTGTTACTTAAAAACAAGTATATCTTCTTAAAAATTCTTCTGCTTGTAAAATTGCGCAGAGTAATACAGGAAACATCTACTATTGCCAGAAAAACCCACTGTATTCTGAAAAGACTATTTTTGTATTAAACAATTAAAATTAGCGTTTGATGGTTTGGGTTTTTTTTTAATAAAAATGATTGTTTGTTCCAAACTGTGTTTCTGCAAAGACAGACTAAGTACTGAAGCTATTTATCAATTTTTTTTTTATTTTAAAAAAAAAAGTATAAAAGAAAACAGGACCTTTTTTCAGGGAGGTACAAATCAGAAAAAAAAAATCAAGTTTTCATTAAAAAGAACATACAAATGTTGGTCTTTCTTACACTAGATTGAGACAGTACAATCCACACATCAGCAATGAGAATACCTTGCCAAGGAAAAAAAATTCGTCTTAATGTTCATAGACAGAGGCAGTTAATAGGGAGATACAGTAAGCGGTATCTCAGACACTGCTAAAAGCAGCTGCCAACTGCAGAGAGCAGTAGCAACTCTAACTACTGGTCATGAGTGTGATGCTGCTACTATTTATACAAAAAAAAATATTAGAAAGGGGAAAAATACTACTAATTGCCATCATCTGTAAAAAGGCATGTATTTCCAGCAAACAAAAATGATCCCTAAGATGCTACTGTACAGTAGGTGTCTGTTTCTTTCTTTAGCTAGAATTGGGTCCCTTTATAGTTGAGGGTAAATGGACTCTTTGTTCATCCATTCTCTTCGCTTGTGATCGTAAAATCAGGCTGAAAAAATCCTCATCTGGTACAGTTGGTCCTTTTGCAGATGATGGAGGAGCACATCTTTGGTCATCCAGTCTGGAACCCTACAGACAGACCAAGCAATAAAGCTGCATATTTACAGGAATATATAAAATAAGTGAACAAAAAAAGTGAAAAATTACTAAAAGCTTTTGGTTTCAGATTTAAAACTATTGCAAGGATTTAATTGATAAGTTTTGTTTAAACTTCTCAAACACCATTAGTAAGTTCAGAGTGCAAGTGTAGCTAAAATGGTTCCTCTGAACCACTTGTCCACGTGTATGTGAAAACAAAACCCCCAGTTTTAGTTCTTGTCCATACTGCAGAATGAGAGTGAAGTGTCCTTTGTCCAGAAGAAGAATTTTAGCATTAGTGCATGGTATTTCTGGTCTCATACAACAGAAACTATGGTGGTCTTCCTTTCCTTATACAGGGAGTGAAAAATGGCCACACTGTTGTCAGATTTGGAAAGGCAATATTGAGAGAAAGTTTTCCTCCAAACTCAGAAGGGTACATTTTAATCACAGTGTTACAGAGCACTTTGCAGAACACCTCTGAGAGAGTTTCTGTGCTCCTCTCGCCCAGCCACCCCTTGCGGTCAGGTCTTACAAGCATCAGCCTGTCACCTGCGGCCTGGCTGTGGACTGCAACCCTCTGCAGCAGCTCCTCGGCCTGAGCTGGGAAGGCGCCGTCCTGGGCAGCAGCAGGCTGCCGCCGAGCGCGCTGGCAGGGAACACGCTCACTTCAGGAGCGGCGCCGCTTGCGGTCTTGGATGGGCCTTGGACAGAGGCATCTGCGAGACAAAAAGTCTCAGCAGTCAGCTGCCCTTTTGTGCTTCTGTGTAAAGCAGTAGCATCCGTTATGCTGGAGGGGATTCAATTTCTCTGTTCCTTTCTCAGTGAGCACAGCCAGTCACTGCGTTATGGTTGCAACGCCTAGTGCACGTGAAGAGGCAAAATCTATCAGATTAACCTCCACATTCTTTGCTTGACTCAAAGAAGGGACAGACAAGCTGCTGAAACAGAACACAGTATTTCATCAGGTTGATGAACACTGTCATTGTAGACTCAGTTCCAGCCTCTGCTTCCCACCCAAGCCACCATACTTACCACCTTGGAGAACTCAGTCTCTGAGTTTTGTATTTTGAGATCCTTATCAACCCATCAGGTAAAACACGAAGCCTTTTAAATTAAATGCTTTTTGGTCTAATGGGTATATACACCATGCTCTGATCGACAGTCAGACACCTCACTTGTATGTTGCTATGAACTATTATTTAAGCTTGACGTAAGTGGAACGATGATCGCTCTCACCACTAAAACTTTGATACCGAATTCTTTCATCTGATAAGTTAGGATTCCTGGTATATCAGGTGCCGTTCTAACAAGCCAGATCTAAACACATTTTCTTAAAATCATTTTACGTACTCCTTTTAATAGCCTCACTTGTTTTCCTTCACTTTTTTAGCATTTATTACTTTAAATGGCTAACATGGTATAAATACCAAAATTACACTTACTAGACACTGGATAATTTGAAAAAACCCAATCAAAACAGAAAGAGAAATTGTAACAAAAATAACCTTGGGGAAAAAAAAAAATCCTAATTTTTTGTTCTCTGTGTTCTTCCTCATCTGCCAAATCAATCTGTATCTTAAAACACGATAAACAAGGTCACTTACTTGAAGAACCTAAATAAGCAGGATGCACAAATGAAATCCCCAAAGACACAGAATCTGAGGAATTTTTGTAGAAAACATACCTGGCATTTTATCAATATATCAAAGAAGTCATCGTCGAGTTCTCTGTTGTTACTTGCCATGAGGCGCCCCAGGACCGACCGACTGTTGTGTTGAGTAAGACGAAGCCCGGGCAGGTTACTAAAGCTGGCGCGTTGGTCATCTAGCCGGCGGCTCTGTGAGCTAGCAAGTAGGTCTAGAAATTCATCTGTGTGGGGTGAGACTACAGAAGTAGGAAACGCTGAGGAGGAGGAAGGAAATGAGTTAGCCTAGAAATAAGTTCCTTTCAATAGCAAGTCTTGCATGCAAAGACATTTTTAAAATAGTATTTGGCAGGAACTAAAGTCAGGTACGGATTTTACTTTTAAAGAATTACATTTTCTCATTGTTTTAGGTGGAGTAGAGGATGTTGCCACTGAAGCAGCTGAGAATCTGTTCTTCTCCTGGAAGTAGCATCTCTGATCATCCATCCTGTTACTCTGGAATCGACTCAGCAGATCAAAGAAACCTTCATCTGCCATTGTCTCTCGACTGTTTTTCTGAAGAGGAGAGAATAGTTAGGGGTATTTCGAACTCAAGAGTACCTAAAACTAGGACAACTGTATCACAGTTTCATTCCAGTAACATGCTTGGTATTTGCACATCTGAAATCCATTAAATGAATTTTTTTTAGTCATCCATTTCTATAGACAGAGCCTTATCATAGGAGGAAATGCTAATAATATGGCAAGCATTTTTTGAAGGTAAAATATATTAAAAACATTTCATTCTCTGAAACAGAAAGAAACAATACTCTGACCAGTACAACTGGAGTTCCTCCTCCTCAGCCATGAATCCACCAAAAACCCAAATGCCCATGAAAATAAAAACAAGAGCAGCAATGAACAGTTCCCATTGCCTCCTTGGGTCTACGGTCAAAAGTACTCCTCTCATCTATGTCAAACGACTCAGTCCTTTTATTTTTACCTGAATTCTGTCAAGAGTGCAAGAACCTAAAAAATATGTCAAAAATATCTCCCACTGTCTGAATCAGAAAAACTAGATTTTTTTAAGGTTGGAGAAGCAGGGTGTAGAAGAGACTAGAAATGAAATACATGTGCAAGCTGAGCTGTAACTTTAGAAAATCCACCAGGAAAAGAAATGTTCCAATAGCAGGGAAAGTTTAAAGCTGGTATCACCCACGAGACAGCTGTGGCGTGGCAGATTCTGCATCATTTGACAGAGCCGTAGTGTTCAAATCCAGTAAAACTGACATGGACAGCTGCAGGAATGTGCTTGCCATAATTTTGATGAGACAAAGATCAGTAAAGGCTATGATCTCCACAGCTCGCCAAACCTACCCTGTGAGAGTTTGGAAGTCGGTGATCAATTGAATTACTGGCATCCTGCAAAACTTTGGGCGTGGTGCCGTTTTTGTACTTTTTGCCTTTTAGTCGATTTACAAAATGCAGTTTTGCTGAAGGTTTGGCAACCAGTGGTTTCTGTTTAGCAAGAATCTCACTGTTCCAGTTCTGAACCTAAGAAAACAAGAGTCATGGAATTAAGCCTTCTGGTTTTAATTACCTATACTGTTACCTCTTACTCGCTGCTGCTTTTCCTCCCCAAACTGAAGCAGCTTTTACATTGTTTAGTTTACCCAACCATGACGATGTGAAAACTTAGGGTTTGGTTCTGTTACCTGACCTGTGACTATTGAGCTCATGACCTGGGGCAGGTTGGTACTGTTACTGATCGGGCTTCCAACTGAACCGTAGTGCGACACCTGACTGACTGACCTGTGGTCAAATAGTAGAAACACACTGTGCAGTGCAGGAAACTTAATGTGAATGCTAAAATACAGACACAGCTGGCATTTCCCACCTGATATTCTTATAATTGGAAAGGAGAAAAAAAATCTGTAAAGGAATACATAGTTTTATAAAGCATTAGAGCAAAACAAACCCTTACACAAACCCAGATACTCAGGCCAGCCTTCTATGAAGCCCTTAATACACACAAAGTTCCCAGTAAAGATTGAAAAGGAAGAGGGAGAAGAATGCCAGCACAAGAGCAAACAGGAGTGACCATTTTGTTTCATTCAGGAACAGAATGGATAGCTTTATCAACACAAATTCTCTTCCAAAATAAACAGAATTATCCACAAAATCGACAGCTTTATCTACAGCTGACAAACTCTATAGTAACTGAATAAAACCCCATTTTTTTTCTTGATGCAACATCAGAAATTGTAGACAGTCACAAACCTTTCAGCAACACTGCCTGCCCCAATAGATTGCCTTTTAAAGGCTTATTTAAGATCAGCACACAGATTCCAACTCCAAGAAGATGGTGTCCTCTACAATCAAACCACAACGCTAATGTCATACGTTGTTCTATATATCAAAGACATTTATGGAATGAATTTTCAGAATCTACTAAATGAGTATCTTGAAAAAAGCCCTTTATAAGAGCTAAGCCGCAATACTAGGTTAATACTTTATTACAAAATGTCATGAAACATTTTAGTATATTTAGGGCACAGACTATTACAGGCTATGTATTTTAAAAGATAGCACAGATAAACAGAGAACAAGAAAATATAGCTGATTCTGGCCAAAAGTTTAGAGGTCCCCTGCAGAGAAATCACCCTGGACTAAACACACGATCTTTGTGAATCCATACACAAAGAGGCTCTTGAGCATCAGTGATGACTTCAGCTGTACCAACTGTCCAGATGTCAGCTTTGAGATTTAATTTCCGATTTGATAAACGTGACAGTAGGCTTTGCATCACTTGAAGAGACAGGCTTTAGATATCCCAGTATGGGGGGGAAAACAGCAATTTCAGTCTGCCACTGGAGTCGTTTATGTTGAACTGCCAGCACTGCGTTGAAAGGCGGACAGAATTGGAAGTAAATCTCTCGAAGACTGACATAAGGATTTTAATTGGGAACTCCCCGCTCCAGGAGATTTCTCTGACCTTCGGGGCAAAGTTACTTTACTTTTCTGTGACTCAGTTTCAGCATTTCTGAAATAGCATCAGTACTCAAGGTGGATATTGAAACTCCTAATGGCTCACAAGATGGTTGAAATCCCAAAGTGAAAAACACAGCGTGCATTTCAAGTGCCTATAAAATGACTGTAACCAAAGAAAGAATGTTCAGAACAGCTGAGCTAAAGCTTAGGAATTTTACTCTGAATCTCTTTCATGCTGCAACCTCAAACCACTTCTAAAGAGGAGACGAAAGGAATTCCTTTGATGCACACTACAGAATCCCGTCCTTTCTTATTTGTGAGGGGAGTAAAGCAAGCTTTCCACAAGCCATTACAACCATTATATGTGCACGATGCTGACTGTTACCTACCTGAAAAAAGTATTATTTGTTAGAATTGTTAGACCTGCTTTTACCTTACTCTTAAGATGTAAATTAAAGAGGGGATGCAAATGACGCTTCAACATTCTGCTGAGTTCTTTCAAAGTCATTAACTACAAAACTTCTGACCATTCATAACTGTTGAAGTTAAACCCTTAGAAATGTTTCATTGCAATCTCACTGGCAGAACAGAAAGGAGGAAAGTACCAACCTTTTCTGGTGTTAATTTCATAAGTTCCATGTTCTCCATACTGTGACGGCGTCCTACTCTTGGTCTGGTACCTTCAAGAAAGAATCAAGTTCATCTTTTTATCATTAAGAGGTATGGTATCACCTTCAAAGCTGGGGCTGTGCTCATCTAAGGTCCAAGATACAGCAACTCTGAGTTCCAAAATAGTGCAGTTAAATACAGTAGCAGGGAATAACCACTAGCAAAAGCAGCCTTCAAAACCACACCAATCTAAGCTTTGTGTTGCTTTCATGGGACTGAAGAGAAGGACCATGGATCTTTGAACAGAGGAACATCAAATGAACTGGGTTCTGCTGTAACACCCAGTGTCACTAAGATGGTAGGAAGAAAAAGGAAAAACATAATTTAGCAGTAAACAGAGAAATCTCCCACATTTAAAAAAAAAAAAAAAAAGGTGGAGGGGAACACAATTAGAAACATCATGTGAAGAAACTAAGTAATAACTTGTGATTCACAATGTAAATCCTTCAGAAAAGGAGGAGCTGAGGGGGTCCAATACTGCAAAAACCACCTCTTTTGCTGGTGGGGAGGGGGGGGGGAACCAACCCAATACAAAAAACCCCAAACCTGCATACTCAACCATCTGTTGTCAGAAAACCACGCAAACAACAGATTCTTTTTGAAGTTCACTGTTAGAAAGTATTGCAGAAATAGGCACGTACCAGTGAAACTGTTATCTACCACATGGCTTTCTGACATCATGGAGTTGTTTGTGCTGTAGCTTAATCCAAGAACCATTTGAAGATCTGAGAGATTAAGTCTAGCAGTGAGCTCTCCACTTCTGTCTCCTACCTGCAAGCAAATAGAATAAGCAGTTCTATTACTGTTACAAAGTATACACATATGTAAACGCAAAGCAAGCCTTGTCCCCTAGATCTCTGAGAGGAAAAAGCTGAAAAAGTTTTCCTGGAAACTGAGAGAATGATCTTTTTAATGAAGTACGTAACAAGTAAAAGCTACGTAACAGAGCCTCTGCAACCCAATAACTTGAATTCCGTGATGACACTACTGGAGGTGGCACCAGAACTAAGGAGCTAGTTGCAGCGAGATATGGCTGAAATAATTTGGAAACAACTATCTCGGAAATCATTCAAAATCCATTCTATTATTCCAAACGACATGCATGGCACACCTCCATAAAATCATTGTGTGAAAGCAAAAACCAAGAGCCAATATACACGGAGTGCCAAAATCATACCTCTCTTGAAATCTCCAAGTGCCTTTCTGCAAAATGCATAGCTTGGTCATGATTTCCCAGAGCAGTATATGCATTCCCTAAACTCCAGCATGCTCTTCCTTCACCGATTCTGGAAAAAATAAACACGTTTTCAATTACACCTTTACTCGCTGAACACTAGGGGTCAGGTTTTCACAATATTGCCACAGTAGGACTGCTGTGCCAAGAAAAATGAAGGCTGTCATCAGAAACCATTCCAACACCAATACGTTAAGTATTGTATTTAAGGGAGTGTGATCTGGGTATAACCATAAATATGAGCAACTCTAATAAAAATTTCAATTCTTAAGCTCACAGCAAACATAAGTCACTCAGTTTTGCAAGCATGGAACATTTTATAACCTACTTTGCTTTTCCTGAGATTGCATGCCTTATTGTTCTTCATATATTCTGCTTATTGAGTTAGAAGAAGTGCATTTAAAAGTTGTAAAAAATTTTAGTTGCACCCAATGTTATAAAAAAGGCCTTAGAAATCATGATTATAAAATAAGCATTACTTGCTACTGTAGTATTCTCCTTTCTTTCCTCACCTCTTCCCATATTCTTAATTTGTGGAAAAGTAGGAGACGTATTCTTGTGAAGGTATGCAAAATGATTACGAAGAAGTAATGAAAGACAAAGATCTGCTCTACTTAAAGTACAAAGAAGATGCTGGCAGAAGACGATGTAGAGACAGTCATTCATCAATTCCTCTTACATCTCACACTCATTAGCTGCAGTACCTTCATGAGTAATTTTTTTTCCTATGTGAAAACCGGAGCCCAGCACTGTAGGGAATTCACATTAATTCAGCTGTCATATACAGAGCGACAACAGCAGCGTTCGAGGTAACAGGGTTTGGTTTGTGTGTCATACATATATTAAACAATCTTTTAGGGCTTACTTATCATTTAATTCCTGAGCAATCACAAGGTGTTTCACATGATAATCAATTGCTTTTTCATAGTCTTGAAGCAAAGTGTATGTGTTCCCAAGGCTGTAGCACGCCTGTGCTTCCACAGCTCTGTCTTTAAGCTGGCGAGCCAGCTGTAACGTCCTCCTGAAAGAAAGGGTTAAGTCACCTCAAAAAGGACTGGAAGTCAAAGGTTTGAAAAAGTATGCTTTTGCAACTAAAAATCAATTGTACAAATAACACAAATTAGGACACTGGGCTAGCAAATTAGCTGCTAATAAATTACTGTCTTGTAAACTCTCCACTGCAACCTATTTCCATTTACTTTATTAGAGAGCAGACTGATCCCTCAAACAGCATCTTCAAATGTTAATTTATTGCCTCATCACTAATTTATAGCAGGTTTCCTGGCAGCATGCCAAACAAAACAGTTCAGCACCAGCATTACAGTAAATGCTGTATATTCTCCATCAACATGAGCAAGACAGACCTATAACCACCAAGCAGCCTGCCCCTGCTGGGTAAGAAGAATTTGAGTGCCAAGAGGAATCTGCTCGGTATTGAGGCTTTTTTTCCCTTTTCCAAAAAAACAGGCAAGCTCCGAAATCCACGCAAGACGCTAATAACACCTATACTGTATCTTTGCCGAGCTTGTATTTTCCCCGACTGACAGCAGCAACTGCTTAGTGGTGCAGAGATCAGGAAAAGATCTCGATTGAAAATACAGACTAAATATGTAAAATCATGTTGACGTGCACCACCTGTCTCAGGTACTGAGTGTACCACAGACAGCGACCCATCTCAGGCGTATGAAAGTTACTCAGATCATTCCAGAGCTTGCTAAGAGCTAAGACAGTAATGCTTGGTTCTAGAATAAAGGGGAATGAATGCCTATCAACAGAAAGATGTCTACAGTGCTGAGAATAATATATTTAAAGTAACAAAAAAGTTAAAACGCCAAAAATATTAATGTCGCCCCTCCCTTGAAAGAGCCAGAAAAATTAAAACAACTAGGAAAAATGTTGTATTTGCTAAACAAAAGCAGGTCTTCTCTATATTTTGAAGAGATGGCTATTCTACAGTGAGCTAAAGTACCAGGCACAGCAGAAGTAAACTGCACAAGAAGAGGTATAAATTATAAGCAATCAACTAACTTGTAGTATTCAGAAGCGGTTTCAAATTCACCCAGGAATATGTAGGCGTTTCCAAGATTGCTGTATGCTCTTCTTTCTGCCGATCTATCACCAAATTCTTTTGCAATTAGGAGACGCTTAAAAATGTGAAATGATTGCGTTATTTACTCAATTTGTACTTCGTAACATACATTTGCATACAGACATGCATGCTCCTAGTATTTCCATCATGCCTCTGTATCTGTTCTTTAGGCCAGCAATGCCTGCAAAGAACAGCCAAACTTGAAGCTGTGCCATTAAGATTTAAAACTTGCATTAAAAAGCTTGCAATAAGACCCAGCACAATACATGTACTTCAGATCAGGAGCAACCAGTGATATTCTGCTAGAACACAACTCCTTACTAGCACATTGTTGTACCTGTTCATGGGCTAAAACTGCGCTCCTGAAGTTGCCCAGAAGGTAGTGTGTGTTTCCCAGGTTTCCAAAGGCACGTCCTTGTGCTGCTCTATCACCCAGCTCTGTTACTATTGTCAGGTTTTCCCTGTTTTGAGAGAAGCAAGAAGGGGAAGAACAGTGACTTTTAAGAGTTTTTTTCTCACAGTTGTATAAATAATAGTTAAAAAAAAAATTCCATTTATATAAAGGAAAAGGTAGAAGTATTCTACTTTGGCCTATTTTAATGGTCTTTATGCAGCCAGAAATCTTTCACTGAGTAGGAAACCTTTCCTGTAAGATTCTGAACTTAAATGCATTCTTACTCAAGTTGGCATGCTCACTTCTAGGTGTGGAGCTACCTTATATACAAGTACACTGAGGTCCTATTGTTGTCTCAGTCTGGTTTGAAGAGCACTACTGGATTCTAACATAAGGGAAGGACTTAGCAGGCAATATAAGAGGTATGCTAAAAATGAGGGCATAACAAAGAAATAGTGCACTCTCCAGTTTAAAAGGGAAAAAATCGACAGCTACCACTGTTCTGAATAGCAGCGTGCCACAGGTTAGTTCATGACACCATAAATCTCCCAATATTCTAACGAACCAGGTGGTCATATCCTCTCAATCCCCAACATTTAAAGCCACTACTTACTCATAATAATTTGCAGCTTTTTGTAAAGCATTCTTCACATCATCTGGAAGTTCCCCTGGATCATGAGTCCCAGCACTAGCTACTTTTTTCCCTTTAGAGTGATACACATTTCCCAGATTATACAGTGCTCTTGCTTCTCCAACCTAAACGAAAAGTAAGGCATTAAAATTTTATGCTTCCAAGTCTTGTATCACAACAACAATCCACAGATGGGGAAAAAAGTTTGTTAACTCATTGTCAACACATGCTCTGCCCATTCTGAACATGTTCTTATACACCCACCTTACTCCCACCCAGTCACATCCTTCAATCAAATTGTTTTGCATACTACTTCCTTTTGAGGTGCAAGATACATAATAATTCTTGAGGCCAATTATCATTAAAAACTAAATTTAAAAAAAAACACAAAAAAACAGGATATTAATATTAGAACATTAATATTTATTAATCTGGATCTGTAGTCTTCCAGGTGCAAAGAACCATCTCACAACTAACAGATTCTTACTTTCTGGAAGAAATAATTGAATATTCAGTATTCAGCTCCTCTGAATGGTGGCGTACTTATTACCAACGCAACAGGGTTCAGTAACACCTATTAGCAGTTAACTTCCAGATTCCTAGGCAATTCTTACCTTGTCGTTAAGCTCCCTGGAAATATCCAGATGTCTTTGACAACAAACAATAGCTTCTTCAAAATTCCCAAGCACCTTTAAAGTGTTGCCCAGATTCCCACTAGCTTTAGCTTCTCCCAGTAGATCTCCAATTGTCCTAAAATTACAGGAATAAAGCACCCAGTAAATAGTGTGTAATTTGAAACCAAGCAGATGATCAATGTATGGTAGGCAATTAGAAGAATTTTTTAAAAGAGATTACAACCATGTAAGTGCAGCATATGTATTTAGCTCATTTTATATCTAAAATGCACTCATATAAACATTGTTCAGTCTGTGGTTACAGACACTGAATTTTGCTGGTGCTGTTTGTGCACCTGCTAGTATTCATGGTATTACTTAACACTAAAAAAAGAAAAAAGCCAAAACCCGCACTTCTTGAAGAGAGTCAAGAGAAAATTCTTAATGACTATGTGGAAAGACAGTCCCAGCATTAGAAAGAAAGGTTTCACTGTTTCTGCATTTTCCGTGACTATCTTAGTTTTATATTATTTACAAGATATACCAGTCTCCCAGGAAGCTCAGAGGTAATACTACATTTCTAGATTCTAAATGAGACGAAGGCAAAAGACTGCCACGGAACCACTCAGACTGTGATACTTGGGGAAGAACACAACCAAGCAAGTTCCCACAAGGTTACAGCACTTGAGCAGGCTAAGGCAAGGGGAAGAACAGATTTGTGCTTGTGGATTATTATTGGATCTGTACCAAATCATTGAAAGCCAGATGCATAAATGGCGTAAGAAATGCATAGATATCGGAATATAATATGAATTTTACACAGAGAAACATGAATGAGTTCTGTCTAGTAAACAAGAGAGCCAGTTAAACATTCTGGAGAACCAGAAAGACTGAGTTTTAGATACAGGAAAGGGTACAGAAAGGGTGGATTTAAAGAAGTGGTTAATTACCCACAAACCTGGTGTGGCCTCGGTCAGTACTAGGATTATGGTGCCAGAATGGGTGTTAGTTCCCCAGTTAAAGGGCAATCAAGTTACCCGCCAGAGCCCCAGGCCCTCTGCCATCACCACATTCACTCATTATCTGGTATTAAAAGCAGGGTTTGGTAGGAAAATGGAGAGCCAACTGCTCGTCTCCACAAGAATGGGATGAAATGGAAAACATGGTTAAAGAAAGTCACAAGATTACCTTGCAAGAGTTAAATCATGGTGATGGTATTCCAAGGCCTTTGCATACTCATGCAAGTAGAAATAGGCATTGCCTAACTGGCTGTAAATAGCACTGAGTGTTTTTAAATCTTCAGTTCCAACCTGAACAGCTGCTTCAAAGAAAGACACACCAGCTCGGCAATCTCCTGCTTTACACAGGCGCTCACCTTCCAAAGCCAGCTCTAGGCAGGAAGCCTCCATCCTGCGCAATGTAAGTAAAAAGAAAAGCAGTCACTCTAAATGCAGTACTTTGCCCAATACCCGGAGTTCTGAAGAGGCCATTTTACTCAGAGGGTCTCTGTTTAGGGCAGGGAGTCAGCACCACAGTACAAACAATGAGCTCTGCACTATAATATTACAGAAACTAACACCGACATGGAAATTGCAACTTCAATGGTGATGAACAAGCATAACATTAGAACAAATGGCCTCAACTTTTTTTTTTTCCTTTCTTTTAAGTCTCAGGGAAATAATCCAAACACTGCTTTGTCCATACAGAGCACCTGTAGGATTCAAAAATGCAGAGTTTTCATCACATAGATCATTTCAGAAAAGTGACCTAGAAATCAAGCTGTCATTGGCAAATTCGGATTTTGACAAACGTAAGCACTTTTATTTTTAGGCTGATACCATAGTTACCTGCAAAATGTCTGGAAAAAAACATTAAAATTCAAATATTCCTGTGTATCAAAGACCATGACTTTTTCCCAAAGTTGTTTCCTATGTAATTCAATACTTCCTGGCACTTTATAATTTCCTATTGTGGCACTACTATGAAAATTCTCAGAGTATAAAGAAAAAAGATATAGATTGAATTAATGACAAAATGTATCTGAATTCAAGTTACTTAATGGAGAGGCCATCATTCCAGAACACACTGGAATATTTTTTATTATTATGAGCAAATAATTGTGTAATCTTGCAGGTGCGAGCAGTAAAGATGATATTCATGAATGAATTTATAGCAGAATTTGCAGAAGATTACATTTTGAACAATGAACAAAGAAGGTGTTAGAGAACTGCAGCTGCCAAAAAACATTTATATGTATTTTGCTGCTATGAATTCAGGCATGCAAAAGGTAACATTTCAATAAGTGTTAATGATTATATACAAACATTTCCTACTTTCCAGTTCCGAGATGCAAGAGAGGTAGGGGAGAGGAGGATGAGAAGGAAGACAGCTTCAGCTCTTGATCTTGAAGCCATATGGTTCTCTATTTTTTTCAAGATACATGCATTTTAAAGGCTCGCAAAAACATCATTCTACTTTAAAAAGATTTTTTTTAAAAGAAAACTCAGTGAAAGACATTCTGTAAGCGTTCAAAAACCGTGTGCTAATATTGCCAAAAGGTGGACATCAACTCTGTAAATTTATAAATTGTTTTGAATTTTTCTTCAAGATGGATTATACAGTAAGTACAAGGGCTTGCACTCCAAACCAGAACATGTGGTGTAGTTAAAGTTATCATTGCTATGTCGTCATTTGATATTTACCTTGTTGTAAGAAGAAACCATTTAGAATCCTATTCCTAAAACTGTTTCCCTTCAGATGCACAGATTGGTAATAGCAACAATCAAATGTTGGCTTTTCCAGAAGTTATTTTAATGGCAACACCAGAAGACAGCTGTTTTGACAAGACGTAGTGATGAAATATCTAACATACCTGCAATGTTTACATTTCTTTATTTAGTCTAAATCGGAAAAAAATAGGTTACACAACATTCTACTCAAATCTGAGCAAGGAGGAAATATTTTTGAGAAATCCAAGGACTTTCAAGAGAGCTAGAAGAATTCGGATCGTAAGTCAAATAAGCTACCAACACAAAACAGTACCATACCTGTTGGTCTTCGACATTCCACAGCTTAAGCACAGCGAGATGACAGACATATTCAACTTTGGCAATTAAAAATACTGTCTGCTTGGTAGTTGGTAAAGATGCAGACAGCAAATGATAACTCAGGCATGAAGTTCTTCCCAGGCCCCACTTCTCAGGGTGGATATCCATAACACATGCAGTATTTTTAGGTTTGGAAGCTCTGCTCAGAGAAGCTAAAGCACTCCTATTTGCTAGAACACGCAGCCTAGATTTTATGACATTGCGCACGTGTTGAATATAAGACAGAAAAAGGCAGAAATGATTAAGTACAGTTAAGTACGAGGCAGAAATGATTACACCATCAGCAACTGAAGGTTTAAGACTTAAAACACTTCATTGGGTAATCTTAATCCTATCCAAAGAGGTTCTCTCCGGGCACCTCATGTTAACTGACATGTCCAATTAAAGTGATGGCTGGAAAATATGGTGTTCCTTAGTGCAAAGATTTAGATCATTACACAATCACATTCACGTCTTTAGATTTTTAGCCTGAATGGCTAAAAAGGGTAGAGCTTTCAGCACAATGTGTATGTGACATAATAGTCAAAAGGATATACTGAACTCCAGTTCTGTAAGTGAATTTATCCCATTAAGAAAAAAATCATGTGTTAATTTGCAACTGGGATGCATCAACCACCAAATCAATGAAGACAAGGCACAGTTTAAAAAGGTATAAAGACAATATTAGAGAATGCTACAGACCGGTAATTTTCCTGATATACTGCATTCAATGAAATTCACACTATGGCAAATACTGCCAAATGCCAAGGCAGCATTACCACTTCATCAAGGAACTTGAAACAGAATCTTTTGCCTTTACAACCTCAGACTTAATATGACCTATAAAATGAAAGATTTGGAGTTTTTTCAAACAGGACATAACTAACTACGAAGCTAAGGCTTATACCCCAGGCTGATGAAAATTAGCTGTTATTACAGAGTGTTTCAATTCAACTAGAATTACAGGAAGTAAATGAGAATGGGAATTAGTAATTGTTTGAGTAAAAAAGAATCCACAATTTAACACTACTCGAGTGCAACTTTGTACAAAGGTTGTGTTAACAGGTTGCTAGAATCTGTACAGCAAACTAAAGCTATAATTCCATTTGGATCCATTCTTACCGACCTTCTACAATTTAAAAGTCTAAATAAGGTATAAAAAAAAGAACAGAGAAAATGAAATATTTATCTCCACAGTTGCCTGTACCCAGTATTAATTTTTTATTCATGTTATATAAGAGCTATGAAATAATTCAGTTATTTTAAAAGTTTGCTAGGCTTATCCATGAACTACCAAAACTGGACTCGGAAGAGGTTTGGGGCTTTCCTTCCTCCATTACTTAAAGGACTGTTATGAAAATTAACACTTTTTTTTTTTTTTTTTAAGGCTTACATAGGTGTTCTCCAGTCAAAAAAACATCCCCTCTTAGGAACGCTTTAACTGTCACTACTAATGGTTAAATACCATGTCGGTAGACTAGACAAGGCTAGGTTATCAATGTTTTAGGAAGTCATTAAATAGTTACAAGGAGAATATGAAATTACTTTCTCTGTTCCCAGGGCTGAATTGAATTACTTATTTATTCAACACCCAATGGCTAAACAAAAGACACATTGAATCCCCAGAGACAAGAACAAGGCCCATTCATCTCCGTACTTCTAATGAAATTCTGTTCCTGCTAAACAGGATAATGTTCTTCTAGATATTACTGCGCAAATACTCACACAGCGCTTCGCTTTTTTATCCTGTTTATAGTTGCCTGGACCTGTTCTCTGAAAGGTTGGCCTCTCCTGAATAATTTCTCATTTGTAAAACTACCTCATCCTTATCTGTCCTTCTAAGCTTTTCATCTTGCCTGGCTCCCTTTCTTTCTTTCCCCCCCGCCGGCTTTTTCTTTTTTTTCCCCCTCCCTCGACGGCTTTTTTTTTTTTCTCCTCATTGTTCTTCTCTGATCTTCTTCACATTCTCTTTTGAACTCGCTGTTTTTCTCACATCTCACCATAAAGAACAGAAAACTGGTAAGAAATAAGGCAACAGGAGGAGACAGGAAGACTCATTGATTACTGCAATCTCTAAACACAATTAATTTAGTTTTACTCCACTCAATTCCCACTAAGAGGATGTTTTGCTGTTGAGGGGGAACGAGGCTGCCATGCAATTTGCCATGAAACATGTCAATACACATAACGTACCTAGACACAGAACAACACCCCCCCATTATATCTCTAATTCAGATACATAAAATTACTAATGCGACAGCATCCTACAATAAAGATCACACACTATTCCCGATTCCTGCCCTTGTTCTTGGTTTCTGTACATAATGCAGAAGCATACCGCACTGACCACTCCAAACCACCTAACTACACTTCCACTGCAAGACTGTGTTTAGTCAAACTAAGTTTGATGGCAAACTTAGAAACAAAGCACCACACACACACAGAGAAACCACACACCTGAATTTTGGGTTCTTTTGCTCCCGTCAAGGTAAAAGCAGTTACAAGGCTTTGGTGTATGAGTTTAGCAGGCCAAAACAAGCGAGTTCTACAAGTATTTATTCTATGAATCACTTACTAGTGATCTAAAACATCAGGATTTTATTTTCCATCACTACACAACATAAGAATAAAGAATAGTTTCCTTCCACCTGCATAAGCATTTCTATAGCTGCTAAAGTCATATTGGTCAGCAACAGTGGGGAGAAAGATACAGCTTGCACAGTAATAAACAGACTCGTAGCAAAGCCTTGCCTTGGGAGTGGGCCACCAGCTTCTTTTTAAAGCCAGTTCTACTGGAATACCAGTGGGAAGGAAAAAGCAGTCTAAGAACAGAATCACAGAATAACCTGCCTGGGCAGCCTGTTCCAGTGCTCTGTCAGCCTCAGAGGGAAGAAGTTCTTCCTCATGTTCAGACGGAACTTCCTGTGCTTCAGTTTGTAAATAAATAAATAAAAATAATAATAAATAAATAAAAAACAAATAAAGGTTAGCCAATACCTCTAGGCAAAAAATTTTAAATACTGATAAATAACACCACCACTCTCAGTAATTTATGACCTATTCTTTCCTGTGTTAAATTTTAAACTACAACCAGATAAAATCTTTCCAAATTATAGCTATTAAATCATGATAAATTTCCAATTCAATATACTGAATTAATTTGCAATTTCTCTTAAGTTTTAGAAAAGTTTCATATTTTAAAAAAATTTAAAGGATTATGGCATGATGCTTTTTAAGTGTTCATCAGATTACAGTTCTTACAGAAAGGTTTAATAAGGCCATTAACATTTTTGTTGTTAATCAGTCTGTACTGGAATACAGCATAAAGCAGCAAGACATTTTGCCCTGTCTGTGCTTGCCAGTTTTTCTGAAGTTATTTTTGGCTTGTCAATTTAAACCAGACGACTGGCTGTGCCGCTTGCTTCATCCACTTGCTTCCGTAATAGTACCCCGAACAGCTCCTGCCTTCATCAGAAGGTGAGGAAGGATCTCCTGTAGTCGCGTGGGGAGGACTACGAGCAGCAGCAGCAGGAGCAGCAGGGTGGGGAAGGAAGGTAGAGGA